TGAGGAAGCCACCAAAAGCAGCTCAGTCCCCCATGTTGAAGGTGCCAGTCTGCCATCCTCGGTCGGGAGTAAGTTGCAGGGAAAAGCAGGATCTTGCAAAATCTCCTCTGGGCACCAGGAAAGGGCCTCAGAGCCATGAGACTCACCACCCAATGGATGTGGAAAGGGGTGGCAGCCAGCGTTAAACAGCCCTTGGCAAGACAGCTAAGAGGGTTAAACTTGCACTGATTGACAACCAGCAGTTTGCCCTGAGGCACAAGTACTGATCTGGGTGCATATGCATGTGCAGATGTGGTGAGCATCTTACCTACAAGAGGGCACTGAGCACACCCAAAAATGCCTTGTTTGACCAACCTGCAGCCTCAGCTTGTGACCAGGAAGAAAATGCTTTTTTTCTTCCCTCTTTCCCTCCCTGGAGGTGAAGGACTCAGCCACCCACCACTAAGAGAGAAGAGCAGCATCTCAGACGAATTAAGCAGCCACATCTTTTTCTCCTCCTGGAAGTACCCAAATGCACTTTCTGGCACAGCCCCAGCCTGTGCCAGGCCCTCTAGCAGGCAGCATGGCTGCTCTGGGTCTCAGACAGCATCCCCTGAGGGTGCTGGTTCAGCCTGACCTTCCTGCCAGGCCCCTTCTTCTGGATACAACCTGACACCAAATTCATTTTAGAAGGACTTTTTTTGGGGGGAGGCTTTGCAATCCCAAAACCAGGATCTGACGATCCTCTCCTGCTTGCGTCACCCCATCTGTGTCAGCGGAGCAATTCCCTCCCCTTTGGGAAGGGTGGCAAAGGCATTGCACATGCGGAGCAGAGCTGGCAGGAGGCTGCGGTGGCTCCCCCCACCTGTGAAAATTGCTGTAAAATATTTACAGCCAAACCCTAGGAATACACATGGCTGGAAGTGAGGGGGTCTAAAAATAAACCAGCCAGGAAAAAAAGGAGAGAGATACAGGCTTCCTTCAGAGGCAATTGGAGAGAAAATTGAAGTAGTGTAACTGCCTCCAAATATAGAACACAATTATGGGAATCAAGGGGCATGCTGAACAAGAAATCACCACAAGAAATCATGAGGCTGCCATGTCTCAGAGCTGGTGGTGTCTCAGCAGATGCAGAGCATCACAGATCCCTGCAAACCATGGAGCAGTAAAGCATCCCCCTGCGTGGGGCAGCGCTGGGCAAACCCGCAGCTCCTTTCCAAGGGACCCAGCGAGCAGACCGCAATGGTGATGCCTGGTGTGGATCAGCTGCACTGAGCACACCCCGAGGTTCAGCCACACCGTCCCTCTGCACCTTAGCCCAGAGCACGGCAGCAGGAGGCCCAAGAGCTGCAGCCTTCTTGTAATGCAGATGCTGCTGTGCCAACCCTGTGTGGTCATCCCCATGAACAGAGCTCACCAGCTCACAGACGCTGAGGAGAGCCAGGCAGAAAGATGGGGTTGCTTTGGGAACCCAAAGGCCCCTCCATCTCTCTCTTCTATGTGCCTGGCCTTCCCAGGAATCCTCATGCTCCATGACCTCCCACGCGTGTCCCTTCCAGGGGGTCAGGTGCTCTCTGCCCATCTCACCACGCTCCAGGAGCTGCTGGAGGAGATAAGTTGAGAGACCAAAGGCAATGGGGAGTCGCAGCCTGTCCCAAGAGTAATGGGAGGGTGGAGAGCTGCACAGTACTGTTGCTTTCATCCAGCAAGGCTTGGGACTGCGCAGAATTGGGACATGATGTGTCCAAAGGTTACATGGCAAATGTCACCCAAATCAGGACTTGACCCTACCGCCTTTATCCCCAGTCCTAGACATCTAAGACCTCCTTTGCACATTGCTGTTGGATCACATGGGCCCTGTGGCAGGAGGGCAGGCTCCTTTAGCCTTTAACCTTTTGGGAAATCAGTGTTGAGATGCCTTTATTCAAGGTGAAGTGCTGAGCCCTCTAGTCTGGCTGGAGTCCCCACAGCACATGCGATGGATGTTAGGGGTAGCCTTGTGACCCAGTCAGGTCAGCTCCAAGGCAACGGGCATCCTGGGGGTGTTGGAGAAGCAGCCCAGGCTGTGGGTGTGCTTAGCCTGGCCTTCAGCATGGGCATCATTGTGAGGACCGGGGACTTCTCTCATGGCTCTGTGCATTCCTATGGGGTCAACTCAGACCAGTGTGTAGCAGATCCCTCTCCTACTATGCGAGTTCAGCTGGGACTTCTGGGCACCTGTTCATCTCACTGAGCAGAAACAAGGGAGTGGGGTCTGAGCTGGACTGAGCCATGGGTGCAACCTCAGGAACTGTGCTTCCTGTGAATACACCATATTCTCAGTGATTCCCCTACATGGGGGCTAGCCAGGGACACAGACTTGCCATGGAAGAGCTGAAGGGACCTGTTTTGTGGGTGGGCAGATGTTGCACGGCAGCACAGTGCTTGCAGAATTGGACCCAACACATCTCCACTCTACTGCAAAAGTCACTGAAATCGGTGCCAGCATGTGAAGCACGTGCCATGCATCTTGGCCTTTCTTGGCACAACAGAAAGCTTCCGCAGGTGGGGTGAAGGGGGATCTCCCGGTCTGCAGGTGGAGAAGGAATGGCATCCCCCTCAGGAGACGTGTGGGTACCATCCACTCACCTTAGTGAGCCTCCACTCCTGAGCCCTGCAGTGAAGGTCAAATGTCCATGACAGGTAGAAAAACACCCACATCTGGGCATAAAGATGTTTACAGAACCAGAGCATCGTTCATATGAGGAGAGGCCGAGAGCTGGGACTGTTCAGCCTGGAGAAGAGAAGGCTCAGGGGGACCTTATCCATGTGTCTAAATACCTGATGGGAGGGAATGAAGAAGAGGGAGACGGACTCTTCTCAGTAGTATCCAGTGACAGGACCGGAGGCAATGGGCACAGATTAAAAAATAGGAAATTCAGTCTGAATACAAGAAGACACTTTTTTGCTTTGAGGGTAGCCAAGCACTGGCAGAGGTTGCCCAAAGAAGTTGTGGTGCCGCCATCTCTGGAGATATTCAAAACCTGACTGGGTACAGTCCTGGGCAACTGGCTCTGGGTGAGCTGGTTGAGCCGGGGAGTTGGACCAGGTGACCTCCAGAAGTCTCTTCCAACCTCAACCAGACTGTGATTCTGTGTATGGTACCTGTCAGCTCCCCATTTGCCCCCCAGATTGCCCGAGATTAATGCAGCCCACAGTTTGTTATTTCTTATTTTATTTATAATATAAAAAATGTTCAAGTGTTAAACAGTCGAGAGTTCTGACATTCAGACAATCCAGAGCAAACTTTGACAATCATCTTATGACAAATTAGCAGAGTTTTCTATCTGACCCCATCATGGGTGAGGAATAGAGGGTTTAGTTACTTTATTGCTAAAAGTTAAATGAAATACACTGTCAATTGTTGTATTATCTTCTCAGTCACAGCTTCACCATGCATCCAATCTACAGTATCTGAAATGCAAAGGACATGCAGAAGTAAAAATATAAAAAGAAAAAAGTCAGGCTACAATGTAAACAGGTTTGCTGCAGAGAACTGAGGAGAGAGGGGCACTTCCACGGGGGATGCTCTGCCGCCTGGACACGCAGGACTGTCTCTTTGCGCCACAGAGCCGATGGCTAGAGCTGCTCCGAGTTCGGAAACACGACGTCCGTCATCGATGGCAAGATGTGACGGTAACAACTGTCTTTACAATATACGGCACGGCAGTACAGAAGAATCCGCTCGCTGGGCTGCCCCACGCAGGGCCCTTCCCGGCCAATGCAGGGGAGACAAGCGGGGCCAAAAGTGCTCGGGCTCCTGCCAAACCCCGGGGCAGCATGGCCGGCAGCTGCCTGGCACGGCGTCCAGGGCAAGCCTCGGCCGTGCTGTGCTGCGGGGCCGCCCTCCGGCTGTCCTCCCGGCACCACCTGAACCACGGACGAGCACGGGTGGCAGGACGCCACAGCCCCGGCAGCCCTACGGCACCACGGCACACAGCACCACGGCCAACGCCGCACCGCGGCTACACCACTCGGTCAAGGGAACGCCGCGGCCAGCACGGCACCGGTATGGCAATGCAGCCACGGGGCACCGCAGCTGAATGGAGACCGCCCTCTTGGGACCACCGCGCAGTGCCGTCTGCCTGCCAGGGCTGGCTTCAGTGAACTGGATTCAACCGTACGTAATGGGGTATGATTTCACCACCTTCATACAGGTGTCTGCCTTGTTTGACTACAAACCTGTGCCAACCCAACTTCAGACCCACAGGTGAAATGGCCAAAGGTTGAGAGCTATATTGTAAGGGCTGCTGCTGCTGCGCGATTTCATTTTCTCTTCCTACCTGTGTGGCAAAAGAAACATTATTTCTGCATTTCAGCACGGTGCTGTTGGGTTTCTTTTTCTCCTGATTTAAGAGAAAATACAAGTATTTTACAGGGCAAGACAGATCCCCATTAGACATGATAATGGAAATGCTCCCACTCATGTCCTTGATGTGTGTTTAAACGATACCTTAAAGAATAAGATCATTAATAGCAGGGTACGGGGCAAAGTGGCGAGGCTGTTTTCTTCTGACTAAAGAGCGCCCTTGTGACAGGTTGTCTCCCAAACAAAAATCTATGATCTTAAAAATGCTACTGAAACAGAATCCTCGGCATGAATCCCAGCACTAGCATACAGCAAAAGGCACCACGATAGTTTTGTTTTCTATTTTTAAGTAGTCAAAAATTGGCCCACTTTTTTTTTAACTTTATTGTTTGTTTTCTTTTCTTCTTCTTTTTTTTTTTTTTTTTACTTTTTTTTTCTCGGAAGCTGTAAATCAAGACATTACATATAAATAGAGATTCCCTATAAAAAAGTCATTGCCATTAGCTATTATAAGACAACTTTGCTAAAATGAAAATAAAACATTTTATTTGTTATATTTTTTCCCTCTTTTATATAAAATAAAAATATTTATTTTTGTTTTGTTTTGTCTCATCTCCCTCCTCGGCCTCCTCCATGCGGGTTACGTCTGCGGGTGCGTGAGTCTGGGAGGCGCCTAGAGAGGATCCGGGTCCGGTTTGGGCGTCGTGTGCGCCAGGCTGCTGCGCCCGCTCTCCCCGGGAGCGCTGTGTCTGCTGCAGGAGTAGTGAGTCCGGCTGTGGCCCGGCCCGGGGGGGGGGTCGCCCGGCCGGTGGAGCGGGGGCGACTCTGTGTGCGCCGCCTCATTGTTCTGAGTGCTTAGGAAGGGGGTGCTCTCAGCCACCAGCTCCTCGTCAGACTCGCTGTAAGAGGCGCTGCTCAAGGAGAAGGAGTCCCGGACGGCTCTGGCTCTGTGAGGGACGTGCCCGTTCAGTTTGGATTTTTTCCACCGCCTGTTGCTGCTGGCTGTTTTCTTTGGCTGCTCTAGCGCTGTGACATACTCCTGCGTCGTCTCATACTCATCGTCCTCCGTGATCCGGAAGGGGCTGGAGGGCAGGCTCCCCATGCTGTCATTTAGGTAGGTCTTCCTTTGGTAGTAGCTGTCGTACCTCTGCGTGTCCTGGAAGGGGAGCTGGTACCGCCGCAGGAGGGGCTGCTGTTCCTCCACACGGAAGCTGATGGGGGCCGCCGGTGGCAGGGAGACGGCGTGTGCCGAGTTGGGGGAGGTGATCTCAAAGGTGGGCACCTGCGCGGCCATCGAGTAGTGGAAGTCGACAGGCGACAGGCGTGCTGGTGTGGTCAGGGCCGACACGTACCTGAAAGAAGCAACACCTCTGTTTGGACACCGAACAACCCCAAAAACCTCCAGCTGTGCCTGCGCTCTGCCGAACACGGCACAGGGACCCATGAGGCCTCCACTGCACCTAGTCCTGGAGCTCGGCATCTCCTGGGGAACCAGGTGGAGGGACCTTGCGCCGCTGTGCCAAGGGAGGATGAGCTGCTGGCTTCGGTGGGCACTAGGGCACCATGCACCATGCATCCCAGGACTGCCTCTCCCGAGGGACTCAGTGTGCAATTCCTACCCTGCATCACTGCAAACCTTACAGCATCTCCCAGCAGGCTGAGTCAAGACTTCCCTGCCTCTCGTTTGCCTGCCAGCTGCTTTCTGTTCCCTCTGGAGCTGCCAGGCTTGTCTCCGAGGAAGGTCCCCGAAATGCCCTCCCAGGGCATCCAGGCTCGGGCCACAGATGGGGAAAGCCTGGGTATTGCTTCCTCTGACTTAGCAAAAATCTTGTGTCTCAAAAAGGCATCTACTGCTTTCATCTACTCTAGTGACAACATCAGTGTGGCAACTCAGGTCTGGTCTAGCCCCTCTCAAAAAGCCCTTCCTTCGGCATCATCTCTTTCTAAGGAGCAGATTTCATTTCCTCTCAATAGTGCCAATTGGTGTCACCGCTCATTTCAGGCTGCCCAGGCTCCCTGGCTCGTCCGGTGCCTTTTTACCCATGTGTCTTGTGAAGTATGAGATGTCTGTATGAGCTGGGTCAGCCTGCCTGAACAGACCGGGGACAGGAATGAGAGAGCAGGAGATGCTGCCTTTCTTCTCTGCCCCATGGATAAGTCCCACTGCCTTGAAGGGTAACTGCCCGAAAGTGGCCATGTGGCCACCCAAGGTCACCCATGGCTATCCACAAAGGACTGGAGCAAGGGTGGAGATGTGCTGCTGCACCATGAGGAACCAGACCTGGGAAGAGGATGACTGTTGCCGCCTCTCACTGGCTGATGGTGTCTCAGCTCTGCAGTTGTGTTCCCCGGAAGGCTGGGTCATACAGAGCCCTGTCCCAAGGCTGTGCCCACATACAGCAACCCGCTTACCAGGCCGTCCAGGACTCTGCTGAGGATGCACATCTTTTCCCCATATACCTGGGGGCCAGACCCTGCTTGAGCTGCCAGCCCACCAAGCTGCCTGGGCTGTGCTCTCAGAGGGTTTTTCTTCACCAGTTGCTGACTTGCAGCCAGATATTTTCTGCTCCTCTCATCCCTGTGCTCCAAACCTACACTGCCACCAGCTGAGCAGGGTGCAGTACTTGCTGCTGCCCCTACCAGGGTGGCCTCCTGGGGTAGTGGCTTCCTCTGGTAGGACCAGAGCTGGAATTTCTCCAGTGCTACCACGGGACTGCTGCTCTAGGGCTGGGCAGAGGCAAACATTTTTGTGTCCAGCACAGAGGGCATGGCTCGCCTCTGCTGTGCCAGGGCAGCACCAAGCAGTGGGATCTGACCTCTCGCTGTGCGGTGAGTCCCGCAGAGAATCCACGGAGTCACGATACTGCGTCATGGGCCTCCGCGCGTCCTCAATGCAGAAGGCGGCCCCGCGGCGAGCCCGTGCCTCCACGCACGCAGGGCTGTTGCATTTACTGGTTCCCACTGAGGACAGCATTATCCCAGACTGGGAATCTGAAGTCAGGCTCTCCGTCCGCTCCAAGCTCCAGGTGTGGCTTTCATGTCTGAGGACCAAACCCCATATGGACAGTGAGCAAGGAATCCCCACCAAGGTCTTCTCCAAAGAGCTGCATGCAGGCACAGCTCAGACTCTGCTCTGCACTGGCATCCCCTTTCTCTCTCTCACTAGGATACATCTGGCCAGGGATGCCCAACTTCCCAACCCTGCCTTTGATTTGCCTTTCTTTGCTACTTCTTGGAGATATGATTAGAGGGTAAAGAAAGGCAAACTAGTGCATACCGGGTACTTATCACACCACCTCCTGACGGCTGGGGACAGGATGGGACAGCCTCTGGAGGGAGGCCAGGGCAATTCTGCTTTGTGCTTGCAAAGCGTTCTGGGTGTGGAGCAACGCACTGGCCGTACTAAGGCAAGTCCACAAAGGATCTTCAAATGTACCATCTGCATTGCCAAGTGACAGCCCCTTCAGAAATGCTACCAGAAAGGAGCCAGAAAAAAAAACCACTGAAAATTACATCATCATCAGCAGAGAAAAGCATACTAAAGGTAGACCTAGTTGTTCAGTTTCCACTGGTTTATAAAAGATTTTGGCAGCAAAACACTTTCAAGGTGCTAGACAAAAACTATGATATGTTGGCTAGACCTGGCTGAGCACTTGGAGCTCCACCTGCCCTAGTCTTGGTGCAAAGAAGACATCCCGCAAGGAGTCACCAGGGACGCGTGGGGCCATGCGCACACCGGGGGCCCACCTGCAGCACGGCCACCAGGCTGACCCCTCTCCACAGCAGAAATAGTGATCCATTAGAGCAATAGCCCTGAACTGCGGAACTGCATCAGATGGAGCTGTGCCGGCAGAGGATTTTGGGTGGGGGTTTGCAGAGGAAAGCAGGCCTCATTACGACTTCCCAAGAACCTGTTAATTATTGATGGCTCCAGGCACATGCTCGGCTGCAACCACCACACTCATTTATAACTTCAAACGGCGTCCTCATTAGAGGCACTGATCGAGTAAAATGGAGCCTGATTATGCCAGTAGTTTGCCTCTGGCATGACTTGAAGAAACACCTGCTCGCTGCACTTGACTCAGGCAGATTAGGTGGCAGGTAGCCAGGACCAGAGGCTATGCAAGGTAGGTGCCTCCCCACAGCTGCCATGTGTTAATGCTGCCCTCCAGACACACCTTTGCGTCTTCAGGAGGTGCCCAGAGATGGCCCCGGGGTCCCAGACTTTGAAGTGAGCATGGAAGGCCAGCAAGGAGCAGCTCTGCAGGCACAGGAGCCTCTGTGCGCCTGGTTCAAGCTTGCATGCACCTAGCCAGGGTTGGGCTGCTTGGATTCCAAAATTTTGGAATTCAGAAAAACCTAGAAAACACACCATCTAACTCACCAGGGGTAGGATTTCCCCAGACAAAAGCAATCATTTCCAGCCCAGCAAGTCATTCTTGGCTCCCTCTCTACTTGTTGGAGGTCTAGCCAGAGGAGTCTGGGGAGGAATTCACCTGAAAACCTAAGTTCAATATCTGAAGTTGATCTGACGCATTGTACACCGAGAGTATTTGCTCATCCCTGATGAATGCCAGAACCCTGAAGAAACCTGCCAGGAGCCATCTTTGAGCTTTAGCTGAAAGGATTCATTGCTTCCTGGACAAATGGGGACAAACACATCGGGCTAATGAAGTAAATAAGCCAGGACATCTTTTGCTTTATAAAGTCAGCGCAATGTGATCTATACGTCATTGACAGGCTGTAGATATGGCCCCCCTGCACCTCGCAGTCACTTTTTGAAGGCAAGTGCTCTCATAGGGAAACATCATCACTTACTGGAAGAAGCACAAGAGCTATGTACGAGGAAGAACCTGAACATCCAAACTCAAAACAGCACAGGATTTTCTCTAGAGCATTTGAGGGACTTTTCTGGACATCATAAAAATAGGGAAGTTCCATCTGCAATTTAAATGCTCTCAAAAACCATGAGAACTTCAGCTTCCAAGCCATGCTGCTCTTCCCCCTGAAGGCTATTTTGAAATGTAAAGAAAATTATGCCTCATCCTTTATAGCAAGAATTATTGGTACTTTCCTGCTAGCCCCAGTTTTCCTGAGAGCTTCAGAAAGACTTCCAGTGAAAGAGGTGCCACCACTGCAGAGGCTGAGATTCTAACGCAACTTTCTGGACTGTGATAAATTGCACATAAATTTTTTCTGGTGAAAAACTGTGACTCCCAAGTCAGACCCTAACTTTGAGGAACTGGCCAAAACATTTTATGATATTTTGTGTACTTTGCCTTCCACAAGACAAATACATGCTAAATATATCAAGCATGAAACGAATAACCTGTGTGTGCTTAATGAATTATTGCAGGTGTCCAGCATGGTTGCAAACACAACTTGCAAAACCTTTCCTAGATGCATCCTCCCGTTTGCGTCTGTGCAAAGCATGAAAGCACAACTTCATTTCCTCCTAGTTTCCAGCTATGTCAGCGCTGCAGGTTTCTGCTGGCACCTCGCTGCAGGTCAAGGATGACACCTTTCCACACTTCTCACTAACTAGCTGTGCCAGCAAAGACCCGCAGTGTCGACATGGCCTGTATGCCAGTGTAGTGCCAAACATCAAGTAAAATCAGAAAGGGAGGTGAAAGGGAAACCTTTTACTGGCTTTGAATCTCACAGCATCCAAAGGCAAACAGCAGGAGAAAGTTCAGGGGAAAATGGTATACATCACCTCTGGCTGGACGTTGGAGTGGCTGTGGAGCAGTGATGAGATGGGGAGCAGGAGTGACTTCCCGAAAAGGTTGTCTCTGTTTCCCTTCGGATCACATGCTCGGTGGCAGAAACATTCTTAGAAATATACTGTAAAATATGAAGAATCACACAGATCACCCACCAGCTTGCCAATGCTGCCACAGCCAAATTCAGCTGGTTTGATTATTTCTGGTGAAATCAAATGAGGACTGAGTGAACCCAGCAGCTCCACACCCCATGGAAAGAGACAAAGAGGCTGGAGGCTCTTCTCTGCCCCTGCACTTTGAACACTGGAAAAGGGCCGTGGCACGGGGACTGCAGAAGGGTTTGAAGAGCCAAGGGGTTCCCCAGAGGACAGTGGTACCACGTGTAGCTACTGAGCAGAAAAACATCTCTGCTCACAGAAGGTTATACACCTGAGAGAGTACCAGCAAAAAGACAACCACATGAGATCTGCCAGCGATACAAGTCCTACAGAAACACCAGGTGTAATCCAAATATTTATGCTGAGATATTCATCTAACAAGAAGCACTGCTTTTCACAGGGACACTAAGCTCTCTGGGAGAGTCAGTACTTTGTGGCCAGAGGGCTGTGGTTCTTAGAAATTCCCTTTCCCTCTTCCTTCATGGCTGGGATTCAACCTAGCTAAATTTTAACATCCAAAGGGTAACCCAGCAGAGCTTGTAACTGATTCATTGTACTCATTTCCATCAGTACTTCTTTTCGTTTGGCTCTGCCTTCCCCCTCCCTTTTTCTGACCCCTTTCAATGCCTTGGTCCAGCAAGGCACTTAAGCACGTTGACGGTCCTGTTGAGTTCACGGAGTTTGATGGGAATCTCATGTGACTGAAGTCATGAGAGTGGCTGAACCACCCTCTGGATCCAGTCCTAAATTCTTAGATCGTTCTCATTGGCGTGACACTGGCACCCCACCAGGACATTCCACCTTGCCCAGGACACAATTCTTGGTACGGGCAGGTGGGCTAATGCAGTGCTGACCAGATCACCATGACATGCTTCAGCACGACACGGTCACCACGGCAGCTCCAGCCACCGCCATGCTGATAGCATTTGTCATGCCGCAAAGTGGGGCTCAACGGGATAGCTTAATAAACAGGAAACATCGGGAACATCTCTCTTAGAGGAAAACAGGATCACACTTGATTCATCAAAACAAGCCCGTCCCAAGTGCCCTAACCTCATCCTGTGCTTCAAAGTAAAATCACATTTCCCTTCAGATGTTAGTTTTGGAAATGTTTCTATGCAGAATCTCATCTTTTTGTTCAAGTTTGTTAGTGTTTTGCTCTTCATGCACATGCACACAGGTGTGTAAGCATACACATCCACGTCAAATGCCTGGCAGAAAATAGGCACTCAGTAATATGCAGGGAGATGGAGACAAAAGGTCTTACATCGGCCATTTGGATTTCCTCAGGATCCAAACGTGGATGGCTTGGCCCGTTTGCAAGGCTCCTGTTCTGATGGGCAGGGCACATGTTCTGCCGTAAATGATTATGCATTTGTTTTCTTTGTTTCCTTTAAAACAGAAAGGAAAAAAATCTATTAGGAAGACTTATTTCATGGGGCTCTGCCCCCAGGGACACCTGGGGGATGCAGATGATAGAGAAGGCAACTCTCAGACACACTTGATGTTTCAATGGCGTTTGTGGAAAGCTGCAAACAGGAAAAAACAAGGCATTCAACATTTGCCACCTTTTGCTGCTTTTTCAAAAAAAGGTGAACATTTCTCACCATGGGCAATTTGGGAAGCTGGGTCCAGGGTCCCCTTTTGCAAGACAAGGCCCAGCACAATGCAGTGGGAGCCAGGGGCACCATGGCGCTGGGAGCGGAGGAGGAAAGCGGGGAGAAGGAAAAGGGGAAGCAGGTCCTGGCTTGGCCTTGGTGGCAAGGCACTTGACCTCTCCTGCATTAAGCACAAAGTGGCAAAGCCTACCTGTTGCCCCTGGCAGGGCATCCACTCCACAAGACCCCCCGTGTCACAGGGCACCCCGAACTGAGGTGAGGTGCAGGCTAAGTAGGGAAAAAGGTGCTGTCCAGGCAGGGAAGGCTGGCCACAAAAGAGGTCCCCAAGCCTCTTGTTCCATCAAGATTGCTCTGAAAGTCCCTGAAACGTACATAGCTGAGCCCACAGCTCCTGCACAACAGCCCAGTGTGCTTCTGCTGTCAGGAGGTGAGCTGCTGGCTTGGGGGCCAGCTTTTCCCAGTAACACAGCATCACCTGGCTGGGTGAAATGATGCTGATTCAGGGGATAAGCAAATGGTCCGAGGAAAACATCCTGCTCAGGCACAGCCTGGGAGATGGCTTCACTGGCCTCCTTCATGAGACCTTCCTGGGAATACCACAGCACAGCATCTCCTTAAAATAGCATTTGGGTGAAGAGCATGAAAGCGTGAAGCGTGAACACTATGACTCAGTAACCTCTGGCCAGTTATTGTCTGTTAACCACCCATACTCACTTGGTTTTACAGTAAGCTACCACACAGACGATGCCCACCACAAGCAAGGCAACACAGATTCCTGTGATGGTTAAAACTCTCTTCTGGTAGAGCTCTTCCGCTTCTGCAAATGGAGAGAAAGAAACCAGTTACAAATGGGGTCCAGCACCAGGGATGCATCTGGCTGCACAGGAACCAGCACTGCGTGTGCGTAAGACGGAGAACAGGGCTCGGTCAGATCTCCTACCAATCCACTGCCCGTCTCTAATAGCTGCCCCAAACCTGAGACCAGCTGGCCCAACCTTGCTCACCCCTCAAGAGACCTTCACTCCTTTTGTCTCTCTGCACCTTTGCCCTGTCTCGCTCAGTAGCTCACCCCTTCTGCGCTCAAACACGCTTCTCGCTTTCTCTTCTTTTCCCGCAGCATAACTTGGTGACTAATCTCAAAAAGCTCCACGACTCTCCTCTCCCTTCCAGCAGACCCCCCCTTCTCGGTAACTTAGTAGCCTACCAAGGAAGTCCCCGAGCATCCCCCACTCACCACGTACACGCATGCCCTGTGATGCTCTCATCACAGGCTCTCTGCTCTGACGGACTCAGAATGCCTTTTCCTTGCAGCGGCTGCATGCCCTGGAGCTCGGCGGTGTGCTAGAAACCACCGAGCAACAGGCCCCAAAGCATGTAGGTGCTGAAAGGGACATCCTAAAACAGTCAAAAAGCAGAATGAGGATGGAAAACTGATAGCGCGTTAGACAAAGAAAAGGGAGTGGAGTAATTAAAATACAGTAACCAATTACAGTTATGGATTTTTAATGAAACCCTAGGAAGCCATTAATTCCATTGTACCAGGTAACTCAGATGTACACACAAAATTCAAGCAGCATGCTGCTGCTTCTCTCAAATATCACCTTTCAAACCAGAAAAGTCTGTCACTTGCATAAAACTCAGACCATGCTGGAAGTGAGGTAATTCATTCACATTAATCAAAGCTCTAAGAAAATGCTAGGGTGTCGCCTGCAGTGTAACTGAACTACACTTAGGCAGCAATCGCACGTCAAGGACACTTCTTCCTCTGTGGCTACACCAAAGCAGATGCTCTTCTCGGCGACATCCAGCAATCTCCAGTGAGATCAGCAGAGGCAATTTGGTTCTCCAGCTGGATGACTCAGAGGAGGATACAGTGCACAGCTGCCATGAGCATTTTAGTTCAGCATCTATGAATGGTGTCCTTGTGCCCCCATACTATGTGTTAATGTTAAAGTTATTGGGGTTTGTGCCTTATTTAATATTAATTGAAATCTTTTTTCATATATATTAGGCAATAAAACTCATGCCATGGTTGCTGTGCTTGGCATGGTTCACCATGCCACACTAAATACCTTGAATGGACTATGTGATATCCCCAGTGCTACCAAACAATGAAATACAAAACCAGAAGAGAAACAGGTCTGGTCCCAGAAATGCCTGGGACTAGACTTTAGCAAAAAAGCAAGGGGGAAGCAATGAAACGTTCCAGATAACTGAATATTTAGACCAATTTCAGCTTGCCATTTTAGGAAGGAAAAAGTATTTTTGGAAGAAAAAAAAAGTGCTAGGAAAAATGTTTATCTCTTTCTAACCCTCAAAATGGGAATGAAGATTTGCTACACAAGGGCTGAGAATGACAGCCCTGGCATGAAGATGGGAAACATAATCAGCAGAGCTTGCTTCGTGCCTGTGCTGCAAAGCTACAGTTTAAAGAAATACATTTCCATCTGTTTTATTTGCGCACGGGCCTTTGGCTTCATGAGGTGCTCAGGGTGCTGGTGGAGTTGCCAGGAAGGCAATGTCCCGCCATTCGCTAGAGAGGCGGGCAGCTGAGGCTCTCCCAGACTCCATCTCCACGGTGTTGTGGACCAGGAACGACAGATCATGGGTCTCACTTGGGCTGAAAGTTACTGCACCGCAGCAGCTTCACCAGCCGGCTGCACCTCCTTAGAGGCAGAGCCTGTATGGCCTGGGACCCGCTCACAGAGCGGGGTTTGGGTGCTGGCTGACCTTGTGTTTTACTACAAGGAACCAGGTGGAGCTGGCATGGGGAAAGAACTCACTCTGGGGTGAAACACCTCCTTCAGCGACGTGTTTCCCTTGCACGGATGCCCTATTCCAGGCATCAGCAACCATGGCAGACAAGTTTTCTTGCTCTTGCACACCTCTGGGACCTGGATTCCAGCTGTACAGCTCTTTCCTTCAAACAGGAGTTTCAGAGACTTTATCAGAATCAGGAAAACCAGCTAGGATCATGTCCTGGTTACGGATAGCACCGGGCAAGAATTTTGCTACTACCCAGCAAAAACTACTTTAACCACAAAAAATAAGGCTGGGCAGGAGGTCAGTTTTCACCATGGACCCGTCCATCAAGCCAATTTTTTCAAAGATTCTTCATCAGCTATGTTTTTTGCTACAAAGACGTTTTTTCCAAGCATAAATCTTTCCCTTTGAATCATGGAGGAGGGAGAAAGAGCAAAGCCATCAAAACTATGGCTTCTTTTTTTTACCTATTACCAACACGACAAAATTTTTCCCCCCAAGGCTCAAATCACAGCCTCTGTTCTGGTGATCATGTCAGTATGGGACCCTGACTCTGGCATGTCTGACTGTCCTGAACCTTCACCTGAATTGCATGGGGAATGTTTCAGTTCATCAGAAATGCAGATTTAGCCTATCTTGAGCTGACAGCTCTGCTATGTGAAGCAGTGAAGCGTGAGGCTGTGCGCCACTGCTGCAAAACTAAAAATTAAATGACCTGCTGATAGTAATTTAGCTTGGCTCCTAACATCTCATTAAAGTTGATGCTCGATAACACAGTATCTTCGTGTTGCACAAAACCATCTCAACAGTAACAGAAAGAAAATAAGAGAATGCACACTATGATTTTGTATTTGTGAAGGTAAGATCCTGGTGCAGGACTTGTCCATTTGTGTCTCTATGCTCTACAAACACCACATCTTCATCAGCAGCATCGTCACTCTACAGCGGCAAACACTATGAACAAACCATGTGGTGCCACATAATGCCGACAGAATCACAGTCCAGCCATGGGTGTCACAGCAACGCATGAAAGTGAAAGACGAATGACAGAGAGGAGACGACTGCAGACTGGGAACAGGATGTGTGCGGTTCTGTGATGACATTGAGAATGGATGAGGAAAAGGACAAAAGGTCAACAAAAAAGGGATGTCAAAAATCCTCAATTTTAAAGTTTATTTAAGTGTATTAGCATTAGCAGCACCACTTTCTCTGAAACACCTGACCACAAAATGCACAGATTTTCTGCAGCAGGGAAGAACTGCTGGGGGATACACACCAATCCCGGTGGATCAGGCATGCAAAAACCAGAGGAGAAAAGTTTCTCCAGCTTCAGCTAGTGCATGTCCCTCCACCTCAGGGACCCAAGAAGACAATTTAGGATCCAGAAGTGAAAGATTGGTGTCCCCATGCCTCTAGCAAATGGAATTGAAGCGTCTTCATGTGAAGATCTGCTCTGGCTGATGTTGCCGGGTCAATGTTTTTAAGTTAAGTGATAAAGATGTATCTCTCTGCTCTCATCTGACCAAGCCCTCCCTGCGGTTGGCCTGTACACTCAAGGGAAGCCTAGCCTCAAGGATTTGATTTCCCAGGTCCTTACTCAAGAGATACTTCATATATTTCTAAAAACAGACTGAGGAGAATGGAAGAAAAATAATATGATTATGAGCAACTGGGCAGGAGCAGGTGATTGCCCAAAGGGGATATTTTTAAAAGCAGTGTTTTTCCAAACTTCAGCTTGCTACCATGATGCTCAGCATTACACCCTCCACTCTCATGGGATACTACTGACTTCCCAGGGCTGACTCTTTTCTAGACTAACCCGTCTCATGCCACCTTTCTTGGAACAATTTCCTCCCAGTCAAGAACCGAAATAAGCTGCTAACCTTTGGGAGGAGGAACGGCAAAGCTCGTCCTGACTGTCTGTAGGATCCAGTGGAGGTTAGTGTGTCTGGGATGGCAATTTCTATAAAAGCCCTGATCTTCCTTAAACTTGTCTTCCCGTTACTGGAATGCCTGCCCGTTCCCAAGTGGTGCCTGCTGGCAACCTTTTGGATGGACACAAACTCCAGCTTTTCAGTTAAATACACAAAAGCATGTTGAATGAGGAGACGTATGGCAATTGTAACATCCCAGTCACACCACACACACCAGGCTGCTGCTTGAAACAAAGAAAAAAGTGCTGCTAAAAATACACGTGCATTTTTATAGGTTTACATTTAGATTTTGCATTTTGCTTTGGTTTTGGTTTTTTTTTTCAATCCAAACATCTATCTTGGTGCCAGGGAAGAGAACAGAACAGCTGATTTTTTAATCATCCCATTAAAGCCATAAATATAATGTGGGCAGCTCTTAATGGCTTCTGATTAATAAATGAATGGTTGTTCCATACCCTTTAATTCAAATCCAAGATGCTCTGCCAATGCAGAAAGAAGACAAGGAAGAGAAAGAGAAAAAGAAAAACAGGTCTGTCAGAGATCTCTAATATACAAACACACACACTGTGCAGTTACAGCAGGTTAGCTTTTCTGTAGGCTCAGCAGCAGTTACACAGAAGACAGTGTATGCTTCAGAGCATTTCAAATTCCCACCAGAGCTTACACCTTATGTAAAGAAAGACCCAAACAAATTGCAGTGGAAGTTAATTATGAATTCTTTTAGTTAATCATGAATTCTTTTGAGATGAGCCATGTTTGTTAGTACCTGATATGGAATTCACAGTTTAGGCAGGGAAAAAAAAAAAAAAAAAAGAAAAAAAGGTACACTTGTTCTGAAACAACTCCTGACAGGTCAAAACACATAGCAACTGCATGAACCTGGTAAAAACCACTCATTCACTTTCTACAGGCAAAATATGCCCTGCATGGTTTCACACGCCCCTCTCTGCCTGGGGGCCTGTGCACCAAAGAAGAGCGCTGGGCAGACAGATGTGCGGGCACTTGCACGGGGCCCTGAGGCCTGCCAGCACGATTCTGCTGCCCACGACCTCAAGTCTGGTCTCGGATGCACAGCATCATCTGGCAGCATTGCCTGTAAATCACCTGACGGCCTGTCAATTCTGCGAGCACTGTTCTTGGCGGTACAGATCTGCAGTTGAACCACTGATGCTGCAAGTGATTAGTTGCCCGGGCAAGACAATGAATCCCTTGCAGATCTAAAAGTGCAAATTGCACTGAAAGTTTCCCTCGAGTCTGTGATCTTCCAAATTTCACTTCTGCTGTGGTTCTGCATTGTTTTAGAAACAACAAGCATGCTGAAAAAAGCACAAATTGGAGCATCTGCTTTCAGATTCATATTCATTACAAGTAATACTGCAGTTCGTCTTGCAGAGATAGTGCTAAGCAAAGTAGTTTACCTAATGAATCAACAACGCAGTTATCCAAAACAGGTATCCTGAATTTTAGTCATTTTCCTGGTACAGGCCTCACCTAAAGCCAGTTTTTCTTACATAAACATTAAAGTTCTCCATACTTATCATTGTACACAAAAGTGAGCTCTGCTGTTCCCAATCACCATACACACAAGATTATTTGCAGCTTGGAGATGTCCAGATTTATTTACTGTATTTTCCATAGGAACTGCTTTTTGCCGCACAGAAATATTGGCTTTCTTTTGCAATGCTGTTCAAAATTTAGGCGGGGGGGGGAAATTAGCACTAGTCATTGTGGAACATGTAAACACGTTTTCTAAAGCAGGTTCTTCTCTTCAAGTCAGTGCTGACGTTGGGGGATTTTTGGGGGGGCGGGAGTTGGGTGGGGTTGGATTTTTTAAATTTTGTAGAATTTAAAGGCCACAAAACCTGGCTGCTCTCTGCTTCGCATCTCACATTTGTGCAAAAGGAACGGCAAACTCTACCATGCGTTTCACAGTCATTTTGTACAAGTTGCAGTGACATGGACACAATGTGGTGGGCAGCAGAGAACTGGACAGAATACACTCACCCTAAACCTCTTGGTTATCGTATCTAGCCTTGACCTTTTCCTAAGGCATGCTACCATTACACACGCAGTTTCACCTGACACTATGACAAATGCGTGTAGAGATACATTAAATTTCATCTATATATCTACGCTATCGATCCATTTGATAGCTGCATGCTGCCTATACTGCCACATTTCCTCCCTGTTCCAGGATTTGCTGCAACATCTACAGCTACAAATGGATGCAACAAAGCATTTTCATGTTGTTTTGCAAACTCAGAAATGCCTGTGCAAACAGAGGTGGTGGGGGGGACCTGAGGAACTTTAGCCTTCCCACTGCTGCAACATCTACAGCTACAAATGGATGCAATTCAAAGCATTTTCATGTTGTTTTGCAAACTCAGAAATGCCTGTGCAAACAGAGGTGGTGGGCAGGACCTGAGGAACTTTAGCCTTCCCACTGTTGCTCTCGCACCAGAACTGCAGTTTCTTTTGGCTCCCCAACCCCATGGAGCAGATACAGCCAGCTGGCTCATTGGATCTTAGCTACAGGTTCCCTGAGCAGGAGACGAACCATGCAGCAGCCGGAATGTACGTGCCTGCCTATGCCTACAAACCCACCGGTAGCTTTGCAGCTAGAGGAAGCCTTACCCCAGCCTATGCTCCTGCATCTGACGTCCATGGCTACTCAACACTCCTCTATCATCATTTCAGGCTACAGACATTGTTTCTGTGTCACCCGTAACTAAACACATCGAATAGGGAGCCACTCTTCCCTTCCCCTGATCAGGAGTTCCTCCCAGCCTGGGCAGGTATTGCCTTCTGTGCTGGGACGGTGAAGGAGGAGACTCTTCAAGAGTAGGCTGGGATTTGGAGGGTTTGTCTCTTCTCTAAAGGAGAGACTGTTCGAAATTATTCAACATGTTATAATCCAGAGGCTAATGAGATGACCCCAGCTCCGGAAAAAACATTGCTTCAAAATGTAATCATTCTGCATTCAGCAGAGGGGTGTCATCTTCACAAACATGGCTTACCACATAGTGCGTGCCTATTTTACATCAGCAATATGCTGCTTGGTAGCAAACATGTTTGAGAAAACAAAATTTCTCCTAGAGACAACAATTTATTTTGGTCTGGAGCAAAAGATATTTCTGACTGCATACTATGTTTGAAAGAAGTCGCCTTTGCTTTTTTAAGAGGTTGATCAGGAAAAGTAATACATCTTTAAAAGCTTTGGGTTATATTTGCTGCTAGGTGGAGAAGATGCTCGGCATGACATGTAGCACCTGCACTGTGTTCTGCAGCAGTTCAGTCAACCTGCGCTTTACTCACCCTCCCAGTTAGACTGGCAGTCTGGCAGACTTGGCTGCTGGGGATGCCTAGAAACCTTTGGGCAACAGTCCCCTCTGCGGCCATTAACCATACAGAGGGAAGCAAGAGGTCCAGGTAAGTCCTCCAGCTCCTCCAGATGGTGATTCACTCCATGCTGATAGAGGTGGTTGCAATGGGGAGGTGTATTGTATTCCAGGCTTGTGGCAGAGGAAGCCTTTGGGATAGCTAAAATTAAATGGATGAATCCCATCTGTAGAGACAAACTGATACATGCCAGGAGTGCTGACAGAGTGCAGCGGTACTCTCCAGCTCCCATGGGACAAGCTCCATTGGAAGCAATACATTCGGAGGCTACCATGCAAATAAATTACAGTGAGACAGCACTGAGATGGTAGCTCTAGGATGAGGAAACGGGCGTATTATTTTTCTCACATCATCAACCTTCTGTCTGAACTCCACACGTGCTCCCTGGTCATGGCAAGGAGCTAGGGCTGAGCACCCTGAACTGCTGTGAGACTCCCCAAACTATTTGAAGTGGGGACATGTTTTTTGGAAAATCTCGTTCCAAATGTGCCTGCTGAACCTTTCTGAAAATGTTGGACTTAAGATAGAACCCATTCTTCCTAGTGCAGCCATCAGTGTTAAGGAAACAGTATCTACTGGCCTCTTCAATGCATTACTTTGCAGAATTTACATTATTTTTTGTACCTAAAAGCTAAGCTAGGCTCTTCTGTGTTGATCCCAAAGGAGACTGAACCCGTAGTTTGGAAATGTTCAAATACCTAACTACTGTAGGTATAACAGAAGGCTGTCCAACAGAGAAAGGCAGCGAGCATGGGAGAGTTGAGGAAGGGAAAAAGGGAAAAAATATGAAAGAGATGACAAAAATGTTTCATTTTCACACTCTTCGTCTCAGCTGCAGCACATCTGCATGGGATTCAGGTTGGATCCCATCACCCAGATTGGTACCACTCAGCTGTTCAAAGCAGGGCTTGCTGAAGAGTCAAGCGATGCATGGACCTTACATGCCAGTCCCCAAAGGTTGACATTCAGCTGAAGTAGACTGAAAGAAAAAATTCAGTTGGATTTAGGTGCTACCAGTAGGGTGGGTACTCTGTGGACCCACTGTCACAAATTTTGTGGTGGATTTTTTTCTCATATCTTTGGACAGAAGACAAAGTCCTACGCTTACTTGATCTGCAGTGACTTTGTGACTATGTTTTTCTCTATAATGTATTTTACCTGTTTTAAAAGATGAACAGACAAAAACATTTAATCTAAAATATCCTTATAGGAGTAACACCTCAAGACAAGATGGCTCTCACTGAACTGTAGATTTATAGGACGATTAAGAAGGATAAAAGCCTTAGCAAACAGCTGTGAAAATTGGGCCTGTGCTCACGTGGACTTCGGGCTGCCCAAGGACATCGTTAAGGTGTTTAGTTACCTCATGCATTATTCCCCCCAAACACGCTTGGGTCCCCCAGAGGCCTATCTGGGTCACAGAGCATGCTCCAAGGCATGAAACAAAGCGGAGAATTAACATCTGAGGACCAGCAAGACAGACTGTTGGTAATGAATTGTACTGACAAGAGTAATGCTTGCAGCACCCTGGTCCAGGCTTCCCCCAAGGGGTACAGGGAGCAAAGCAAGACAGTCCCGTGATGCTGGGGACAGAGGACACTCTGCTCGTGTTAAGGGCTGGGCAATATGTGGGATCTGCAAGTACAGAAAGTCTGCAAACTTTCCATAAACTGCACAGCCATTTAGCTTGTCCAGTACTGTATCAATAAAAATAATTTGGTAGGCCTCAAGAGTCCAGATACATAACCATAGAGTATTAGCAAGCTGCTGTGGATTAGCATGCAATTAACTTCAGAAGATCCCAAAGGGTAACCTGTACTGCCATCCAGGGGAGAGGAATAACCCTGTTATGATAAACCACAAACGCCCTGTAATTACCTAGCCACACCACAGCGTAGTCATCACCCTGTAATTAAGTGGTCAGCGGTTATCGTGTCATTGAAAGGAAGCTGCAGAATGTTTGTGGGATTTAAAATGCTGCTAAATATTGTTTCAGGGTTCAGATGAGTAAGAGGTGGAGGAGGAAACAGAAAGGTAGGTAAAAAAAAGAAGTATTCTTCTGCTTACCATTTTCATATCG